TACATTGTGCCTGACCGTAATAGCGGTAAACGGCTTTGTTGTTGAAAATTCTTATGACACGTGGACAATACGTGAATGATTAACAATGGGCCGCTTCACACCGTTGATTAGTTTCCCACTTATCAATTAACATTTATTGTTCTACTACCAGACACTCATCATTAATTATCAACACAACACTCAGTATAATTTGTTGACGACTATATATACAACTCTATAACACCAATCACGAGATTGGCTTCTAGACGACGTGCATTCTTGTATAGTTACACAGTGAAGGTCGATTGTAGCCATGTTTGAAATTTCTTTTTTTTTTAAAAAAAAAGACCCTCTTTCCAGTTTGCAAAATGACCGTTAGGTCAGATCTAGGAACGGTCATTTTCCATAGCCGTAGGTCTCGACCGGCATATACGGCCGACGTGGAACCCATGGTCCACAACCTTTGATATACCATATTTTTACGCTATTTGAGAACGAAGGGAGGCCATTTTGTCTGTCAGTTTTGGGCCGAAATTCGAACTCAGCCACCCTTTGGGTGTAACAGTGAAATACTAAAAGTTTTTTTTTTAATTTGTCAATTTTGGGCCGATTTTCAAGAAATTCGAACTTAGTCGTCCTTAGGGTGTAGCGGTGATATAATAATACGTTTTTTTAAATTGGATATTAACATTTCAATGTGGGCGTATAATGAGATTTTTCTTACAATCAGGGGCCATAATTCAGGAAGTTATGATCCGATACGCGGGAATATAACAAGGAACCAATATCTTTGGGTTATAAATATGCATTTCAAGTTTCATCAAAATTGGATCAAAATTGTGACCTATAGAGGGTTCACAACTTTGATATACCAGATGTTATACACGAGGGATGGCCATTTTGTCCGGTAGTTTTAGTCCGATTTTCACGAAATTCAAACTCGGCCAAAATTACTGTGTAACGGTGATATTTTCAAACGTTTTTTTTTAAATTGGATAATAATTGTGACCTCTAGAGGGACCTCAAGCTAAAAACACGATTTTCATACCATCAGGGGCCATAATTCAGGAAGTTACCATCCGATATGCGCAAATATCGAAAGGAACCAAGATCTTTGGGTTATAAACTTATATTTCAAGTTTCATCAAAATCAGAAGAAGATTGTGACCTGTAGAGTGTCCACAACATTCATATACCATATTTTTTGACGTTATTTGAGTACGAGGAGCGGCCATTTTGTCACTTTTTGTCCGATTTTTACGAAATTCGAATTCAACCATCCTTAGGGTGTAACGGTGATATATTCAAACGGTTGTTGAAATCGGATAAAAATTATAACCTCTATATAGGGCCCACAAGCTAAAAATGCGATTTTCCGTACAATCAGGGGCCATTATTCAGGTAGTTACGGTCCGATATGTGCGAATATCGAAAGGAACCGAGGTCTTTCGGTTATAAACTTACATTTCAAGTTTCATCAAAATCAGAAGAAAATTGTGACCTCTAGAGAGTCCACAGCCTTGATATATCATATTTTTACGCTATTTGAGTACGAGGGGCGGCCATTCCGTCTGTCAGTTTTGGTCCAATTTTTACAAAATTCGAACTCAACCATCTTTAAGGTGTAACGATGATATATTCAAACCTTATTTTTAAATCGGATAAAAATTATGACCTCTATAGGGTCCATAAGCAAAAAACGTGATTTTTCGTACAATCAGGGGCCATAATTCAGGAAGTTACGGTCCGATATTGAGAATATCAAAATGAACCGAGAACTTTGGGTTATAAACCTACATTTCAAGTTTCAACAAAATCGGATAAAAATTATGACCTCTATAGGGTCCATAAGCAAAAAACGCGATTTTTCGTACAATCAGGGGCCATAATTCAGGAAGTTACGGTCCGATATTGAGAATATCAAAATGAACCGAGATCTTTGGGTTATAAACCTACATTTCAAGTTTCAACAAAATCGGATAAAAATTATGACCTCTATAGGGTCCATAAGCAAAAAACGCGATTTTTCGTACAATCAGGGGCCATAATTCAGGAAGTTGCGGTCCGATATTGAGAATATCAAAATGAACCGAGATCTTTGGGTTATAAACCTACATTTCAAGTTTCAACAAAATCGGATAAAAATTGTGACCTCTATTTAGTCCACAAGCTAACCAGCGGCTGCCAGGCAGGATACGCCCACATTTTCGACAGATGGAAAGAAAGTGATTTTTCCTACAATCAAGGGCCATAATTCAGGAAATTACAATTTGATATGCGCGAATATTGAAAGGAACCGAAATCTTTGGGTTATAAACTTACATTTCAAGTTTCATCAAAATCGGATAAAAATAGTGACCTCTATAGGGTCCACAACCTTGATATACCATATTTTTACGCAATTTGAGAACGAAGGACGGCCATTTTGTCTGTCAATTTTGGGCCGATTTTCAAGAAATTCGAACTTAGTCGTCCTCAGGGTGTAGCGGTGAAAAAATAATACGTTTTTTTAAATTGGATACAAATTATGACCTCTATAGGGTCCACAAGCTAAAAACGCTATTTTTTGTACAATCAAGGGCCATAATTCAAGAAGTTACATTGCGATATGAGCGAATATCTAAAGGAACTAAGATCTTTGGGTTATAAACTTACATGTCAAGTTTCAACAAAATCGGATAAAAATTGTGACCTCTATAGGGTCCACACCTTGATATACCTTATTTTTACGCTATTTGAGAACGAACGGCCGCCATTTTGTCTGTCAGTTTTTGGCCGATTTTCATGAAATTCGAACTCAGCCGTGCTTAGGGTTATTGGTGATATAATAAAACGTTTTTTTGAATAAGATAAAAATTATGACCTCTATAAGGTCCACAAGCTAAAAACACGATTTTTCGTACAATCAGGGGCCATAATTCAGGAAGTTACGTTCCAATATGCACGAATATCGAAAGGAAGAGAGATCTGTGGGTTATAAACTTACATTTCACGTTTCAACAAAATCAGATAAAAAATGTGACCTCTATAGGGTCCACAACCTTGATATACCATATTTTTACGCTATTTGAGAACGAACGGCGGCCATTTTGTCTGTCAGTTTTGGGCCGATTTTCCTGAAATTCGAACTCAGTCGTCCTTAGGGTGTAACAGTGATATAATAATAGGTTTTTTTAAATTGGAAAAAAATTATCACCTCTATAGGGTCCACAAGCTAAAATCGTGATTTTTCGTACATCAGGGTCCATAATTCAGGAAGTTACGTTCCGATATGCACGAATATCGAAAGGATCCGAGATCTTTGGGTTATAAGCATATATTTCAAGTTTAAACCAAATCGGATAAAAATTGTGACCTCTACAGTGTTCACAAGCTAAAAACGTGATTTTTCGTACAATCAGGGGCCATAATCCATGAAGTTACAGTCCGATACATGCCAATATCGAAAGGAACCGAGATCTTAGGGTGATAAACCTATATTTCAAGTTTCATTGAAATCAGATAAAAATTTGTGTCCTGTAGACTGTTCACAAACAATTGCAGACGGACAGACGGACAGGGGCGACGACAATATACGTCCACATGAAAATGTGGCAGACCTGTCAACTCTACCGCATCACGCGGTAAAGTGCCGCGAAAAGGCCTCATGTTTCTCTACTGCGCGGTAATAGCTTTCTACCGCATTTTCAAACAAAGAGTTTTTTCATTTTATCGCCCAAACTATGGAACTAAGGGAAGTAACTCTTTGCATGTAAACAATAAAGATCGCGACTTTCGGTTATCAACATCGATTTGGGATATTGTAAGGTGTAATTTAGCTAAGAGATTTGTTCTCAAATTCTTTTCAATCTATTTAAGAGTTAATAAAGCGGATATAATTATTAACACGTGTTCAAAATACTCTTTAAATGCGTAGCGATAAACTAAACAAATAGCGACCAATTTACGGCAGCAATGGCTGACAATTTCGTTTGCGCGCGTACGTACAGCATCTAATACAATACATCGAATGCAACACAACCTGGAACTTTAATTTCAAGATGGGAATATGTCTCGCCGATTCGGACTTACATGGAACGCTCTCTCGAATAAATGTAAAAGCAGTTTTACGGAATCATGGGAGAAAAAATCCCGTACATTGAGAGGATAATCGCCATGGGGGGCATGATTAAATCGATACCAATATTTTGTCGTTAGTCGTCATGCAAAACTAATTTTTTACGCCCCCTCCGCTCCTCTATTCCTAATGTAGAAATACTATAGAATCTAATAAGCACACCAATTATCTTACATGAAACAATATTGACAAAACCTCACGGAATAGGGAACACACGTCACAAACAAGGATATTTTAAAATCATGCTAAGTTAAAACAAAAGAAAAGTGGTACTTCCAGTACTACTGAACTGGTAATTTTAATTATTTTTTTTTACGTTACTAATTATTTCTTTCTGTAGGCTACATATTCAATTTTGGTTTAATTACATAAATACATTTAGATATGATGGTTACCATTGCTTATATTTTATCTATTACCCATTTAATGCAATTTTTGTATTGGTTGGGCCTGCACTGCCCTGTAGTTCAGTGTATCGTTTCTAAATTAATTACCCTTGGAAGTGTGAATTTACGCGTTTTTGGAAATCTACTGCCAAATCATGCTTTCTACTGCCTTTTTTTAGATTACCCTACTGCTTTTCAGCTCTGAGGGGTTGACGGGTCTGAAATATGGGCGTATAAAAACGCAATTTTTCGTACAATCAGGGGCCATAATCCATGAAGTTACGGTCCGATACATGCCAATATCGAAAGGAACCAAGATCTTAGGGAGATAAACCTATATTTCAAGTTTCATTAAAATTGGATAAGAATTGTGACCTGTCGAGTGTCCACAAACAATTGTGGACGGACGGACAGAGGCGACGACAATACATGTGGACGTATAAAAACTCCTGTATCTGGATAAAAAATTGCTACCTATGTCAACCAAATTTTCTAGCCCCCATCAACTATAATATTACCTTTGCTTCATAAAGTTTTATATTTTTTCCACGGCCATATTTTACTTTAACTTTGGTGCCAAATGGCAGACTTTTGCGTTTCTCTTCATCATCTGTTTTTTCACTTTCTTCAGAATCTTCTCTAGAATAAAAGAGTCATTATCAAATATCAATAAAGAATACTTTAGAATTTCAAGCTGTAGTAAATGCCCGGGATAGTCAGGATAATTTATTTACTAAATCATTCAATGTGATTTAACAGCCCAGGCTGTATAAACAAGAAGTTGACTTTTGATGCACACTAAAATTGAACTTTCACATTCTGAGTAAAAGATAGGCAGCATGACTCCAGAATGAAAAAAAAGATAGGTTGCCAGGCAACGAAACATACGCCCACAGCAGCTAAATCGTTCGGACAGTCAACAAGGGTTGTCACATATTTTTTCTTTTGTCATAATGAAACATTTACAATACACTCAAATCTGATTAAGAGTAGCAACTCATGAAGTCATTATCAGAAATCATTAGAATTTGTTTGGCTTTTAATTCTGCCCCATGCTAACATTTAACTTGGTAGACAAAATGTGTAATATCATGGATATAGCTGTTCAAGTTATGAACCAGCGGCTGCCAGGCAGGATACGCCCACAGTTTGCAAGAGATGGATAGACAACAAGCTAAACAAAGATAGGTTGCCAGGCAACGAAACATACGCCCACAGCAGCTAAATCGTCCGGGCAGTCAACAAGTGTTGTTGCATATTTTTTACTTTTTTTTGGTAATGAAACATTTATAATACACTAAAATCTGATTAAGAGTAACAACTCATGAAGTAATTATCAATCTGAAGTCAATCGGATGATAACTTTAGCCTCTAGGGCATCACAAGTTTTTTTCATGTGATCAAGGGCCATAAGTTTGGCAGTAATTATCGGAAATCGTTGAAAATCAATAGGTTTCTTTGTCTCGTGACCTCAAACACTGCGTATAAATTTAAAGTCAATCGGATATTAACTTTAGCCTCAAGAGCATCCACAAGATTTTTTGAAGTGATCAAGGGTAATAATTATCAGAAATTGTTGAAAATCAATACGCTTCTTCGTCTTATGACCGTAAACACTGCGTATAAATTTAAAGTCAATCGGATATCAACTTTGGCCTCTAGGGCATCCACAAGATTTTTGAAGTGATCAAGGGCCATAACTCTGGAAGTAATTATTGAAAATTGCTGAAAATGAATAGACTTCTTCGCCTCATGACCTTAAACACTGTGTATAAATTTAAAGTCAATCGGATATTAACTTTGACCTCTAGAGCGTCCACAAGATTTTTCAAAGCGATCAAGGGCCATAACTCTGGCAGTAATTATAGGAAATCGCCGAAAATCAATAGGCTTCTTCGTCTCATGACCTTAAACACTGTGTATAAATCTAAAGTCAATCGGATATTAACTTTAGCCTCTAGAGCGTCCACAAGATTTTTCAAAGTGATCAAGGGTCATAACTCAGGCAGTAATAATCGGAAATCGCTGAAAATCAATAGGATTCTTTGTCTCATGACCTTAAACACTGTGTATCAATTTAAAGTTAATTGGATATCAACTTTGGCCTCTAGGGCATCCACAAGATTTTTGAAGTGATCAAGGGCCATAACTCTGGAAGTAATTATTGAAAATTGCTGAAAATGAATAGACTTTTTCGTCTCATGACCTTAAACACTGTGTATAAATTTTAAGTCAATCGGATATTAACTTTGACCTCTAGAGCGTCCACAAGATTTTTCAAAGCGAACAAGGGCCATAACTCTGCCAGTAATTATAAGAAATCGCTGAAAATCAATAGGCTTCTTCGTCTCATGACCTTTAACACTGTGTATAAATTTAAAGTCAAACGGATATTAACTTTAGCCTCTAGAGCATCCACAAGATTTTTTGAAGTGATCAAGGGCCATAACTCTGGCAGTTATTAACTTTGGCCTCTAGAGCGTCCACAAGATTTTTGAAGTGATCAAGGGCCATAACTCTGGAAGTAATTATTGAAAATCGCTGAAAATGAATAGACGTCTTCGTCTCATGACCTTAAACACTGTGTATAAATTTAAAGTCAATCGGATATTAACTTTGACCTCTAGAGCGTCCGCAAGATTTTTTTTAGTTATCAAGGGCCATAACTCTGGCAGTAGTTATCGGAAATGGCTCAAAATCAATAGGCTTCTTCGTCTCATGACCTTAAACACTGTGTATAAATTTAAAGTCAATCGGATATTAACTTTAGCCTCTAGAGCGTCCACTGACTGACGGACGGGGGCGACGACAATATACGAATCACATTTCAATGTGAGCGTATAAAAAGCAATTTTTCGTACAATCTAGGGCCATAATTCAGGAAGTTACGATCCGATGTGCGCGAATATCGACAGGAACAACATCTTTAGGCTATAAAGATATATTTCAAGTTTCATCAAAATCAGATCAATATTGTGACTTGATATACCATATATTTACACTATTTTCTTATGAGGGGCAGCCGTTTTGTCCGGCAATTTTGGTCTGATTTTCCAGAAATTTGAACTCAACCATCATTTGGGTGTAACGGTTATATATTAAAAAGGTTTTTTAAATTGGATAAAAATTGGGACCTCTACAGGGACCACAAGCTAAAAACATGATTTTTTTGTACAATCTGGGGCCATAATTCAGGAAGTTACGATCCGATATGCGTGAATAGCTACAGGATATTGTGACCTGTCAAGTGTGCACAAACATATTGTGGACGAACGGACAGGGGCGACGACAATATATGTCCACATGAAAATGTGGGCGTTTAAAAATCGTGATATCCCAGTGATGCTATTTCACCCGTATATTTTGGACATATACTACGCTATTTCCGAAATGTTCAACCATGAACATGCCCAATTGAACATCAAAGAGACATTCTATTGTAACGACAACACGTAATTTTGTAGGAATATTACTGAAATAAATTTAATACCGCACAGGAATTAAATATGAAAAATAACGATGTGCACCTACTTTTTAGGTGCGTGAATTTGAAACAGGTACGGGTCAGCAGTAGTCGGCACGCTGTCATTCTATCGTATTACGACAAGACGCAATTTTGTAGGAATATAACTGACATAAATTTGAATACAGAGAGAGAGAGAAATGGTGTCCACTTGACACAAACTAGGTCATTTTGGGACTAACATATTTGTTAAATTTGAATAAAGCATGAAAATTAAATATGAAAAATAACGATAATGTATCAATCCATTACGAGTGATTATAAACTTAATCTACGTGATTAACCTGTAATTTCTCCATTGTTGCACATTTTAATCTCCTTGATGTTGGCTGACAATATGTAGGAACAGTATATAACACCCAAAATTAATATATCCGATAGTTAATTGTTTTAGACGATGGTGCTTGCGAGAGTCGAATGCTATTATTTAGCAGATGATGTCACTCGCTTGGCATTATAGAGCGATGGTTACTGGCAAAAAAATTTTAAACACTACAACAACACGTAATTTTGTAGGAATATTACTGAAATAAATTGAATACCGCACGGACAAATTAAATATGAAAAATAACAATGTGCACATACTTTTTAGGTGCGTAAATTTGAAACAGGTATGGGTCGGCATGCTTTCATTCTAATTCTTTCATGTAATTTTGTAGGAAGATTACTGACATAAATTTGAATTAAATATGAAAAATAACAAGGTGTGCCTATTTTTTATTATGTACAAATTTGAAAATTTTGTGGACAAGCAATTTTTAATTGTGGTCGGAATCCGTCTGCTTAAATAACGATTAGAGTTATGCTCCTTTATTTTCAGTAAAATGTCTGACAGGAAAAATTTTCAAATACCAACACTGTGTAAGACTATTGGTCAAATGTTGCAAGCGAATAGACTGAAAACACCTGAAGTGTCTGTAGTTGACAGTAATTTTTATAGAGGATGCAAACCATATAATAGACCTAAATGTAAAGTGTGTGCTACTGTTGAAACGACCACTTACATTACCAGTATATACTTAAAAACTTTTTATATTACGGCTAATAGCAATAAAACATTTTAAAACAATATTATTTGGACGTTTTGTAAGAGTGCTGTATTCTTAAATCTTTCTTTATTCTTAAAATTCTCTGTGATATTTTTCGCCACACACAGCAGACGACCGGTCAATCTCCTTACATAATACTTGGCATCTAGTTTATAAGTTACATGACCTAAGTATTACTGATAATTTCATTTTCAAAGAACACAAACGAGATTTAAAACCTATACAATACGTAAACAAACTCCCAGACACCCCACATGGTGCATTGTGGTATCAAGGCTGCGTCCAGGGCTCACACTGTCAGGTCACAAATTGCGATAAAAAAATAAAAATGGCAATAAAAATTTGATTTTGTCGGCAATATTTTGGGGTACTTCCGATTCGTTCTGAACATGCCAACAAATTGATTATCAACTATACAATAAGTTTCATCACTCTCTATGAGATAGAATCAAAGTTATCTTGTCTCAAAGCATCGACCAATGAAATTCCTTAGCTCCTGCTTAGCTTTAGCTCGAAATGATAATCATTGAACTCAGTCAAGACATTCACCTAATGAGCATTCTACCTCAATTAAAAGCATAGTTGTTATGTTCCAAAGTCTTGACCAATTATATTGCTTATTGCTACTTAGCCTAAACAGAAAATTCTCATCAGCAAACTTTGTCAAGGTACTGATATAATGAATCTGTACTTGGAGTTTCATCACTCTCACCCAATTAGATTAGAACCAAAGTTATCGTGTTCCAAAGTCTCAACCATGTGCTTGATCGAACTCAGTCAAGACATTCGCCTAATGAACATCTATACCTGACCTCAATTAAAAGCTGAGTTGTTATGTTTCAAAGTCGTGACCAATCAAATTGCCAGACGTGTCAACCCCCAGGTATGAAAAAAACAGGAGACCAGCAATGAAAAACAAGAGAATCAAGGAGATTTTTTTTTCATCAAATAACTTTATTTTTATTGATCATAGGCTAATACTAAATGTCTTTAGCACTTTTTACACTGTGCACTCTTTTTTGCTGCGTACAACAATGAACAAATGAAAATTCCCTTTGGGTTTGGGG